CATGGGAGTCTGGGAACCACAGGGCTGGGAGGGGACGAGTCACAAGATGGAGGGATGGGATGTGAGGGCTTGGGGTGGCACTGGCTGGCTGGGGGGTGCTGGAGGGGGCAGAAGTAACCTGAAGAGCCAGGTTGAAAGGCTGTACCTGTGCTGCCAGGGCAGGAGGTGCAGCCCAAGAAAAGGGGCTCTCGCTGCTGGGAGTGAACTGTGAGGCTGCTGCTGCCTGATCAAATGTCCCCTGGGCTGTGGGACCAGCACTGACTCTGTTCTGTCCCCACCCCAGGTTCCTACAACCCCATGACACTGGGCATGTTCACATTGATGTATTTCTTCCTGGCCTGCTGGACCTATGGCCTGACAGTGTCTGCAGGGGTCTTCATCCCCTCCCTGCTGATCGGGGCAGCCTGGGGGAGGCTCTTTGGCATCTCCCTGTCCTACCTGACCAAGGGCTCGGTGAGTCCTGCCTGGGAAGCCCTGGCACCCAGCTCTCCTCCCTCACTGCTGGGCTGGTGGCATGTTCAGGCAGCGTGCCTGGAGCTGGCTGAAAGCTCTGAAGTTGGCTGACTCCTTGCTTGATGTCTTCCTGAGCTGGGTCTGGGCCTCCCAATGTCCCAGTGGAGCCCTGCCAGCAGCTGGGTTGTTCAGGCAGCCTCAGGCAGCTCTTCCCACTTTGGAGGGAGGTTTGGGGGCCAGTACTCTGCTGACTATTCTGAATGCCCTGGAGCCAGCAGGTGATTTGGCTCCTTTTCTTTCCCGTGCTCAGATCTGGGCTGATCCTGGGAAGTATGCCCTGATGGGAGCTGCTGCACAGCTGGGTGAGTTCCCCATGGCACAGTGTTGGTTGGGGTAAAGATGTCATGGGAAAAAGCACTCCCTGCTTCCCTGACAGCTTCCTTCCCAGCTGAAGCCCAGCCTGTCTGCTTCATCATCACCCTGCCAAGCACAGTGAGGGCTGGGCTGGCCCGGGGCACCCCTGGGTGGGCAGTCCTGGATCACTGAGAGATTCAGGGCCCTCAGGTGTTCTGTGATGCCCTCACTCTGTGTTTTCTTGCCCTTCTAAACCCCCTGGGTGCCTCTGGCAGGTGGGATTGTGCGGATGACCCTGAGTCTCACTGTCATCATGATGGAGGCAACAGGCAACGTCACCTATGGCTTCCCCATCATGCTGGTGCTGATGACAGCAAAGATTGTGGGAGACTACTTTGTGGAGGTGAGGGCTGGTGTGCTCCCCAGGGCTGGGGGGTCATGGGGGCCAGGACAGGCATGTGCTCACTCTAAGGGATGAGCTGCTGCCTCGCTGTGCCCCTTGGCACCTCACCAGGCCTCTCCTGATGGCTTGGCTCTTGTTGCAGGGACTGTACGACATGCACATCCAGCTGCAAAGTGTCCCCTTCCTGCACTGGGAGGCCCCAGTGACATCCCACTCCCTCACAGCCAGGTAGGTGGGCTGGGCATTGCTGTGGCAGCAGCCTTTGGACCCCAGTGTCGGCCTGAGCTGGGAGTGGAGGTGGTGACCTTTTGGTTGCAGGAGCCTGCTGTCCCCTGGTACCACAGCTCAGCTTCTTCCCCAGCAGGGATGTGATCTGTAGTGTGTTTCTTCCTCTCTCCGACAGCTTTTGGGGACATCAGCACTGAGGAGTCATGTGTGTTGGGGGGATATTTAGGGTGTGAGGGTGCTGAGGCGCTGGCACAGGGTGCCCAGAGAAGCTGTGGCTGCCCCATCCCTTGGGCTGCTGTCCAAGGCCAGGTTGGACAGGGCTTGAGGTGGTGACCTTTTGGTTGCAGGAGCCTGCTGTCCCCTGGTACCACAGCTCAGCTTCTTCCCCAGCAGGGATGTGATCTGTAGTGTGTTTCTTCCTCTCTCCGACAGCTTTTGGGGACATCAGCACTGAGGAGTCATGTGTGTTGGGGGGATATTTAGGGTGTGAGGGTGAGGCACTGGCACAGGGTGCCCAGAGAAGCTGTGGCTGCCCATCCCTTGAACTGCTCTCCAAGGCCAGGTTGGACAGGGCTTGGAGCCGTCTGGTCTAGTGGAAGATGTCCCTGCCCATGGAAAGGGTTTGGAATGAGATGAGTTTATAGGTCCCTTCCCAGCAAACCAGTGTGTGATTGCAGGATTCGGTGAGTGCTGCCATGGGGCTGTGTTTCACCCAGAGCTTTCCCTGCAGGGAGGTGATGAGCACTCCTGTCACCTGCCTGCGGAGGATCGAGCGCGTGGGCACGGTCGTGGACATCCTCAGTGACACCTCCTCCAACCACAACGGCTTCCCCGTGGTGGAGAGCAACCCTGACACCACACAGGTGGGCTGGGTGCCCCTGGGGAGGGGATGCAGCTGGGGTGGACCCCGAGAGCTGGCTGCAGAGTGGGACCCTCACACACGGTGCCTGTTGCAGGTTGCCGGGCTGCGGGGTCTGATCCTGCGTTCCCAGCTCATCGTCCTGCTGAAGCACAAGGTGGGTGATGCTGCCTGGAGACTGGGTTGTTTCTGCTGTCCCAGTCCTGTCTCAGGCCCCTTGCTGCCTGCCTCGCTCAGCTGGCAGAGGGTCCCTGTCCCTCAGCTCACCCAGGGGGATGGTGGGTGCTGCCATTCGGTGGTGGGGTTACCCCAGCACCATCCTGCCCCCCACTGGGCTCGCAAACCCTGAGTGAGTGGGAAAACAGGGTGTGCTTTTGCGGATGGTCCACCTGTCCCACCCTTCTGCCCTTTTCCCTCCCTGGCCCTGTGCATTGTCTTGGTGCCTGTGATAGTCCCCAGCCATGTCTTTCCTCCCCAGGTTTTTGTGGAAAGGGCCAACCTGAGCCTGGTGCAGCGGCGGCTGAAGCTGAAGGATTTTCGGGATGCTTACCCCCGCTTCCCCCCCATCCAGTCCATTCACGTCTCCCAGGACGAGCGCGAGTGCATGATTGACCTCAGCGAGTTCATGAACCCCTCGCCCTACACCGTGCCCCAGGTAACGGCCAGGGACCCCTCTGCACAGCTCCCCGGGGATCAGGGTGGGCCGTGGGGGCTGGCTGGGGGTGCTGCAGCCCCCCCAGCCCCGTTCTGCCTTGCAGGAGGCGTCCCTGCCACGGGTGTTCAAGCTCTTCCGAGCCCTGGGCCTGCGGCACTTGGTGGTTGTGGACAATCGCAACGAGGTGAGTCCCTGCTCGCTGTGTCCAAGGAGCCTGGGCTCCTGCAGGGGACAGGGACACGCTGTCCCCAGGCTCTGTGTGCCCACATCGGGCTGGACCCTGTCCCTGTTCTGGCAGGTGGTGGGAATGGTGACCCGCAAGGACCTCGCCAGGTACCGGCTGGGGAAGGAGGGCCTGGAGGAGCTCTCGCTGGCACAGACGTGAGGCAGTGTGGCCCAGCAGAGATGTGCCCCGGCCCCTGGGAGCTGGGGCCCCCCTTTTGCAGGAGGTGGGGAGAGGACTGGGCCAGTCCCTGCGGGTGTCACAGTGCCTGGAGCACTGCCATGGCCATGCTGCCCTGGCCCTCCTGCCTGCTGCTGCCTTCCCACATCTACTGCCTCCTCTTGTCACCCCTTCCTCTGCTTCCCTGAGGGATCAAAATTCACCCTTGGTTCTGTTAGCTCCTGGAATAGGCTCTCTCTGAAGGCTGGGTGAAGGCTGGAGTGTTCCATGGGGAGCAGGACTGCCCTACTGAGCTGGGCACAGTTCTCTGACACCGCACGTGGCCTCTGTTGCCTCATCCACCCAATCTGGGCTGTCTGGGACTTAGCCCTGCCCTAGCTTCAGCTGCAGGGCCTGTGAGAGGAGCAGAGGGGACACGATGGGGCTCCTTCCTGCCCCCAGGCCCCCATTCCTTGGTGCCCTGTGGTCCTGCTTGCTGGGTTGGGCTGAGCTCTGGGGTTGTCTCCCTGCTCCTTGGGACTGAGGAGGGGGAACGTGCCCTGCTTGGCTGTGCAATAAAAGGGCTCCCCTGGTTCTGCAGCTGCTGCCTCTGGTTCTTTCTTGGCTCCCTCAGCCACTCTGACCCCAAACCTTGTGTGGGGAGACACCCCTCGGCTTTGGGGCAGGGCTGGGGAGGGGAGAGCTGCCTACATGGGGGAGATGTTGGTCCTGCAGCCTGTGCCCCTCTGCCACTCCTGCAGTCCTCCCAGCACTGCTGCTCCCACACCAGGATCCAGAGTCACTCCTGGGGCATGTTCTGGCCCTTTCCAGCAGCCTGGGCCCTTCCAGGCACCCCAAACCCCACCAGCAGTCCTGGATTTGGCTGGAGATGGGAGCAAAGCCAGTCCTAGCACCTCACTTTTCCTGTCTTCCCCCATCCTTGCTCCTCTCCTGGGCATTGCCCTGCCCTCTGCCCTGGGACTGCCCCTTCCTCACCTGGTGCCTGGAGAGGCTTTTGACTGCAGGATCTGTGCTGAAATAAAGACTGTTTGTACTTTTATTGTGGTGCTGCATGTCTCTTGCTTCCCTTCTTCCCTTGGGGCTGAACTGAGCCCTGTCCCCACTCCTGCTGCTGGGAGGGCACAGGCTGGGGGTTGGGGGCCAGCTGTGTCCTGGGCTGAAGGCAGGGGCTGGCTGCCCCTTCCCGGGTTCTTTTCCCTTTCAACACCAACACAAAGCAGAGGATGCCTCAGCTGGGCCCTGGTAACAGCCAGGTCCAGCTGTGGAGAAGAAGAGCCAGCCCTGCTCTGCTGTGTGGGTCCAGATCCCTGGCACTGCCCTGGGGCAGGGGAGCTGTGGGGCACAGTGGGTCCCCAGGGCAGTGCTGGGTCCCCCTGCGTGCTGACAGCCGGCTGCTTTATGAGGCCCCGCGTCGCCCTTTGCCCCGGCGCGGCCGAGATAAGGGGATGGGATCCACCGCCTTGGGCCCAGAGTAAACACGGGCTGCTGGCTCCTGCCGGCACCGCGCCTCCCTGCTCTGCCCGCTGCTGCCAGCAGCCCCCCGGGGTCATGCCAAGCCGTGGCCCTTTGTCTCTGGCAGCAGGGACAGCGCGGTGGCGGGTGGCAAAGGACACCGCACACGCTGCTGCCTGGCGGGAGTCATTTATTCACTCGTCCCATCACCGGCTTCGACCCGGCAGCTCCGAGTGCCCCGGTGCTGGCACTGGGGCCACCAGGTTTATCATTAACTGGGTGGCACGTGGCGGGACCGGGGCCCCCGGGGCCACAGTGGGGTCACAGCCCAGCGAAGGGCTCTGCCTCCAGCCCCGGGCGGCCCAGCAGCTCCCGCCCGGCGCCCGGCAGCTCCGGCCCTGGCTCCACTGTCCAGTTGGCCAGGAGGTCACTGAAGTCAGGGGTGCCAGCGTGCAGGAGGCTGGCGGGGCCCGGGCCTGGCTCTTTCCAGAAGGAGGGCGGCAGCTTCCTGCGGTGCATGGGGGTGATGTGGCCGTACTTCCTCTCCAGCCGCTGCGTCTTGCCGCCGGCGCCCCGTGCGGGCAGGCACCGGTGCACGCCGTACTCGAAGAGCTCGGCCAGCGGCCCCAGCCTGTGCGTGGCCCCCGGGCTGCCCCGCGGGGCCGCGGCCTCGGGCACAGCCTCAGCGCTCTGGGGCGAGCCGCAGTCCGCGGGCACGGGGCGGCTGCCGGCGGCCTCCTCCCGGCCCCGCCGCCCGAAGTAGCGCTGGATGTCGCAGCTGATGAGCTCCGAAAACTTGAGGAGACGCAGGGTGGTCTCGGCAGTGCTGGAGACACTGGCCAGCTCTGGCCTCACGCTCTCCTCCACTGCTTCCACGTCCTCCTCTTCTTCCTCCTCTTCTTCTTCTTCCTCCTCCTCCTCGGGTGGGTCGGGGAAGTCAGGCTCGGGGTGTGCGGGCAGCAGGAGGCCGTGCGGGAAGGGCGAGGGCAGCCGCAGCTCGGCCAGGGGCTGGATGACACCCGCAGCCATGCCAGCGCTCAGAGGCACCCCCAGGAGTCACCCTGCGGGCAGGGACAGCGGGTCAGGGTGGCACATCCTGCCACCAGCCCTGACCCACCGCCCAGCAGCCCTGAGAGGGCAGGGGACCGTGTTGTGCCACACCATGGCCAAGGTGGGGCCACAGGGCAGCAGGGATGTCCCCCACAAATAACGGGGTGTGGGATGTACCCACCAAGCTGTGGGGAAGAGGGCAGTGGGGGTATTCCCCCTGGGACATCCCCACTCAGCCCTGGGACAGCAGGCAGCAGGGGTGTCCCCACCAAAACATGGGATATGGGGCAGTGGAAGCATAACCCTGAGTTGTGGGACATGGAGTAGCAGAGATGCCATTCCCCTACAAGCAACAGGACATGGGACAGTGGGGACAGGACATTCTAACTGAACCCTGGGACATTAAGCAACATGGATGTCCCCGTCAAGCCATGGGGTGTGGGACAATGGGAATGTCCCTAAGTCGTGGGATGTGGGGCAGCAAGGATGTTTGCAGTGATCTGTGGGACATGGATGTCCCATGGGGTGCAGGGCAGTGGGGATGTGCTCCAGAGCTGTGGGGCAAAGGGATGCTCCCCTTCACCCCAGGGCTGTGCAGGGAGGTGAATGGGGGCTCAGCACCCACCCTGCAGCTCTTACTCAGGGCCACAGAGCCCCATGCCCTGCCCACACAATGGCCCCTTGGGTGACAGTGAACCCACTGCCTCCCTGCCCTGCCCTGCCCTGGTGGGCTCTGACCTCAGTTGGGTTTTGCTGGGCTGGATGTGGCCCCTTTGTAGCTTGTGCTACCTGTGCTGAAGGGTCCCCAGCCCTGCCTCGCTGCAGGACACCCCGGCCACGCTGAGAGGGTCTCAGGGCAGGACCACATCCTGGGGTACCAGACCTGCCCCTGCCACACCAAGCGTGGTGCCGGGAGCTGCACCCAGCCTAAGATCGTCCTTGCCACATCTGTGTGTCCCTCTTTGTGCCGTCCCCACCGCCGTACCCCCCGGGGTGGGCTGCGGGGGGCTCAGCCTCGCCTCCGGGCTGCGGGGAGGGGGGAGCGGGGCCACCACAGCCTGCCCTGCCGCCACCCTCAGCCGGACAAACCCCCCGGCCAGGAGGGCATCGCCCGGCCCGCGGCTCGCACTCACCTTGGCGCTGCCCGGCCATGCATAGGCTCCCGCGCCGCTCCCCCTGCCCGTCCCTCCACCTGGGCCTGAAGTATTTATAGCGGAGCAGCGAGCTGACGGCTGGCAAATATTTGGTAGCCGTATTGTAATAGTAGACTCGGTAAACAGAGCTGGGGTTTGCTTTAGCGCCCAGCAACGGGAGAGCGGCGCGGGGAGGGACGCGGGGACGGAAGGCAGGGCTCACCTTAATGGTTCACTCGCCAGGGGATTTTCAAGTGTTGTCCCTGTAAATTCACCTATTAAATCGGCAGCCCCAGCTGCCAAACTGCCCGCACACTTGTGCCGAGGGCTCTTATCTCCCCGCTGATTGGAGGTGAAATCAAGCTTTGTCAAATAGGCGTAAAATTAAATTTCATGCTATTTTGACTCCTGGAGTAGGGATCTTCTGAAGAACATACTGTGTATCGAGCCATGCCTCTGCAAACAGGGGCTGCCCCTGCAGTGGGCAAAGCTTTTCCGTGGGTACCCCCAGGTGCTGCAGCATCCTCGTGCAGGTTCAGATCACTCCTCTGCAGCCTTGTGCCCCTTCGAGATGGATGCTGGGCTCCCTGACCTGAGAGAGGTTTTGGAACCTGCAGATGCAAGCGTGGACATGCCATGTGGAGAGTGTCTGGGTCAGCCCCACGGCAGGGACAAAGCTGGGTGACAGCATTTTTACCCCACACTATGGCCTGTGGCTCCCCTGTGAGGACAGGGACAATGGCAAGCAGCTCACGTCCCAGACAGGCTGTGTCAGAGGTGCCGTGTCTGCCCTGGCAGCAGGACATGCCAGCAGGGTCATCTGGGGCAGCACAGAACAGGGCCAGGGGACACAGAAGGCTGGGGATGCAGGGTGGCTGGAGACGCAGGACAGCCAGAGGACACAGGGCAGCCTGCCCCTGACAGCTGAAGGGATGGCAGGAGTCTGACATAGCACCGGATCCTGTCACAGATGTTGGGGACACTCAGGGAGTGGGACACTAGCCACTGGGCTTGGGGACAGCCACAGCCCTGATCCAGAGCTGCCCTGTTCTCCTGGTTTTGGGGTGACCGCAGCTCCTGGTCTCTCCCTCGGAGCCTTCCCTGCCCTGAGCACCGTGTTCTGAGGCGTCCGCAGTGCTGAGAGGGGGTCCCCAGCTCCTGGCAGGGTGCAGCACTGGCGATGGGAGTGTCCCAGCCTGGGCAGGGCTGTCACCCACCCGCTGCCCGGGCCGGCAGCCCTGGGGCTCCCTGCGGGGCAGGGCTGGGCACTGGCTCCGCAAAGCTCCCTCGGCTCTCTCCAAACACTCCCAGCGGCGAAGCGGGGCGGGAGCAGCAGGCACCGGGCACTGCTGGGCAAACACGGCGGATGGGAGCTGATTAGCCACGGGCACCCTTCGGGCTGCTCCCCGGTGTCACCCATTGCCACCCACCCGCCCGGCCCGGCTCGGCATTGGCACAGCTTGGCGTTGCTACCGGACAGTCACGCTGATCCTCGGGGAAAGGCGGCTTCCTCTGCTGCCTCAGCCACCTCTGCCCCAGGCAGTGCGGGAGATGGGGAGAGCTCCCACAGCCTCGGGGTCAGTCCGGCTGGAGAAAAGGGCTGCACGGACCCTTTGGCCAGCTGGGAAGGGTCTGGGCATGCTGGCGAGGAGGTGTGGGACAAGGTGTGGGGAGCACATGACTTGGCTGCTGGCTCACAGAGCTGGGAGTCATGAGGTCTCCGTCGCCTGTGGGAAGGAATCGGAAGGATAAGGAGCACCCAGGGCTCAGCAGGACCTCTCCAAGAGAGCAGCAGGGAGAGGCAACGCCGCTGCTCCTGCAGCAGCCTTGGGCGTGTGGCTTTGCACCCATTCGAGTGCCCAGGGTGGCCATCCCTGCTCCAAACTCTGCCAGGACCGGGCATGAGGAGCTGCTGTCCCACAGGAAAGGGGTCTCCTGCCTGCAGAGACCCCCGCAGAAGAGCAGGGAGCTCGCAGACCCCATCTGATTCTGCTCAGCCGGGATGCTGCAGCGGAGCGGGGCGGCGGCACAGCCCTGCCCGGGGCTGGCTCACGCTGCCTTTCCCTGAAAGCCAACGGAGCTTCAAAGCTGGGGGGAAAGCAGGCGTGGCTGTGGCAAATCCTGCACCAGCGCTCCGGCTCTGCTGCCTGTGGAGCCCTGTGGCAGTACAGAGAGCGGGTGGGATTTCTCCGGCACGGGGAGCATCCAGAGAGTAGCGGGGCCGGGAGCTCAAGGTGAAGAGACAAGAGGTAAAACTCAAGGGAGTGGTGCGAGCTGGAGCTCACAAAGCCAGGCAGGGAAAGCAGCACACGGCAAAGCTCCGCAGCAGCACAAGCCCCCTCAAAAGCACGGCCTCATCCTCCCCGCGGCAGCTGGGGGAGCAGCCACGGAGCGCCCAGCGCCGCCCCGCCGTGTCCTCGCTCCTCTCCGGGCTGTATCCGTGGCCAGGCGGGTTCGTCCCCTTGTCCGTGCGCCCACCCTGCCTCCTGGTGCTTCCGCCGGCCCCGGCCACGTGTCCTATCACCCCCCACTCCGGCAGGCGCTTTCCCTGCCCCACATTCCCCACGGTGGGCACGGCAGCCAGCGCAGCCCGGGCCTGCTCCGGGCACCAGCCTGTCCCCGGAGCGCCGCGGCGCCCTGGCTACTGCGCCCACGCCCGGCGAGCCCCGGGCACCGGGCACGGCGGGGTTGGGGTCCGGTACCCCCGCCCGCCCCTGGGCCCAGCCACGCCCCACTGACATCACCGCCCCTTCGCTCTGACCGCGCCCCTCAGGACAGCCACGCGCCCCGCCCCGCCGCTCCGGGCCCGGCTGCCGCGGCCGGGCGCAGGGCCGGCTCCGTGCCCGCACGTCCAGAGGCGCGTAGGTAGGTGTGCCCGCAGCGCCGGGCGCTGTCCGAGACGAAAAATGTGACAGCCCGTGCAAAATACGGTCCCGCTGCGGTTTGTGTCTCCCTTCTGCGACTCGCTGGGTACTTAAATTCCCTTTGGCACGTTAACAGGGCTGTCCAGGCACTTTGCACTTTGTTTCGTAAGTGAATAAGTGCTTTTCTTTCTCTGTGTATTGAGTTGCTATTGAATTGCTTCCCATATTTTTATTTCATACAAACTGAACAATTGTGGCCCCTCTATTTTATTTATAAAGGTTCAGTGTATCTTTGCCTGCCTACATCAATCTGCAAGGGAGTTGCAGAAAAGCCTCATGTTCATCGAGCCGTGAGTCACAACCAATTTTTAAAGCTGTTATAACAAAAAAAAAAAAGTGTTTGCTTTTTTTCACAAGTAACTTTAAAAGTGTAGCTTAGAAAGAAAAAAAAGAAACTTTAAAAAATTTCAGTAGACACAACATTATTCCTGGATGCTTGTGAATCCTAAACTATATTCATACTTTAGTATTACACATACCTGTGTCATATGCACAGATGAGCTTTAAAATTGTCACATACCATTACCACTTTGCCTTTACTTTTATGTATCATTCCCCTGACTTCCTTACTGCAGGTGTGGGCAAGAAAGCTTTTCCTTTAAAACTTTTCAACAATGGGCATAAAATTCTGCAGCTGAGGTCTTGAAGAATGCAGATGGGTATAGTATGTGTTGGAGCTCGCAGTGTGTATTGACTAACTTTGTTCCTTTTTTTATTATTTATTTTGTTGCTTTTCTGATATTGTCTCGTTTAAGTGGCTCCTGAGTGTAAAATGTCCTCTGAGGGTGGGCTGTGGGTGGGGAGCCCGTGGTGTGTTCCAGGCCAGGACCTGCCAGCTCCTCCCTTGCAGGGCCTGGGAGAGCACACCCTGCATAGTTGGGTTCCAAACCCAACGGACTGATGGCTCAATTACCACCTGAGCAAAGAGCAGTTGCCTGTAAATTTTGCCCAGCACAGCCCTGTTTTGTGATCTGATAGTGTGGGGTTTGGTATCTCCTGCCCCTTCTTCACAGTAAGGAAAAGAAAGGGTGGAAAAAAGAAACAGGTTTTGGCTGGGAGCCAGCCTGTCTGTCTCCTTTTCTCCTCTGGCTGTGCTGCTTCTTTATGTGGATGACAGGCCTTGGACATTGCTTGGCTCGCCAGCACTGTGTTTAACATGGTGTCCTGGATAAATAAATGCTAAAATAGTGTTTGTTGCCAATTATAAGTGTTCCAGAATATCCTGTTACCCTCTAAGCTTTTTTTTTTTTTTGAGTAATTTTGGGGAGCAGGAGCACCAAATATTTTAATCTGCATATTGAGGTGAAATGTTCATGCTGATGCCTGTGTTCTCTTGTTGTTCTAATGTCTCCTTATTTAAACCACACATGAATTTCAGGAGATGAAACCAGACAAAGGGTGAAGTTCACAGACGATCGTGTGTGCAAGAGCCACCTTCTGGATTGCTGTCCTCACGATATCCTGGCTGGAACAGTAAGTGTGTCCTCTGGAACAAGGGGTTCTGGTGAGGGGGATGTTGGTGCAACTCTTGTCTGTGCAGGGTGGGTGACTTCTAGGAGAGATCAGGCTTTCTGTGCTCAGGGAGCACTCACAATCCTAATTCCACTTCCTGTGACCTGTGTATGGAACTGCTCTCACTTCTCAAAAAAACAAACAAACAAAAAAAAAACAAACCAGGAGCTCTCACAATTCACCTGAAATGCTTTTTCTTTCACAATCCTGTGAGAAGTTGGAAAATTATTTCTGTTTTAGCAGTTTGAGATAGTCAGAGCTTGCAACTTGTCCTGTGGTGGTTCCAAGCCTGTAGCTAGGCTGCTGCTGCCCAGGTTCACTGCTGCATCTTCAGGTTAGCAAGTGTTTCCTTAGCAGCTGCATGAATCCTTGGAGATTTTCAGTCTCCTTTCCCCAGCCCTGATGGAAGAGCAGCTTTTCTATTGTTATTGTGGTGATGATGGCAGGTCACAGCTCTGGCTGAGTGTTGGTTGTTTGAGCTGCTTGGTTGTTTGTGTCACTCTGCCTGACTGGTTTCAAACAGTTGTCTCAGCTCTTTTGCTGCTCCCTGTGGGAACAGAGCTGGCCTGTGTTCAAAGGTTTGGCTCATGTGCTACCTCTGAGAGCAGAAGGTGATGTTGGCTTTAGCAGTGAGCTCTTCTGAAGGAAGTGTTCATTTGAGGCTCCCAGATGAAAGCTGCAGCCTGACTTTGGAAAGAAAACTGTCTTTTGTCACCATCACTGTGCAGCAGTCGCAGGGTGGAGGTGATTATGGATGTTTGAAATCCATCTTTGCCCTTGCTGTTTGCATGAAATACTGTGGCCATTCACAGTGTGTGTTCACTTAACCAGACTGTTGAAAGATGCTGGTTATTTATAGCCCTCCCTGCTGCTGCCTGGGGAGCTGGCTGGACACAGTGGGTCTCCAGCAAAGGGAGGGCTGGCGCTGCTGCCCCTGCTTGTGTCACTCCATAGCAGCAGTGTGGCAGCACTGGTAGAAGGAGCTGCCTCTGCTCTGAGCACTCAGACTTTAGCTTCTCAGTGGCTGCTTTTGCAGAATAAGATTGGAAAAGCTGAATACCAATCTCTGTACCTCAATTTTTAAAATTCATTTGAAGCTCAGATGTATTTTGCAGTGATTGTCCCGTCAGCTGCCATATGACTTCACCTCCATTTCAGAATTTTAAACTTCTATCCTTTGTATAGGTCACTGTGGTCAAGGTATGTTTTTTAACATGAGATTCTACAAAAGTTTCTTGGGGCCCAAAGGGTGTTTTGAAGATGAGGACTGCCTTCTATCTCTTCTGGCAGGTTTTCAACAGAGGGTAAATGGTGAGTTGAAGGGGTAGTTCAGCATAAGTGGTGTGTGTGAGCTGGTGCCAAAGCATGGAGGAAGTCTGAAGTGTGGATTGTGAGTCTCCTGGGGCAGAGAAGCACCTTGAGGAGTTTGTTTCTTATGCTTCTGTTGTTGCTTGTCTTGATTGAGGTGTCCTTTCCCTCTCACTGTGGAATTTGTGCTCAGAACCTTCAGGAGCAGGAAGAAAGACTGCTCCTGCACAAGTGATCTTGTGGCTCACTCACATGATTGTGTGGTGGCCTTGAAGTGGGTGTGGAGCTCTACACCTCTACTGGGGGCCAGAGCAAGTGTTGGTGCTGCAGATCTGTGTTGAAAGAACATGTGATGTCCAGAACAGGAAGAGCATTTCAGCTGTCACTGCTGCCAGTACAGAGTGAAACTTAGCTGGAATGTGCAGTCCTCCCTCGTGATCTCAGGCAGCTTCACTGGCACTTTACAGTGCTCTGCTAAGGAAGAGCTGTATGGGTGAATCTGTCTGAGCTAGGTGGGGTATAATGCAACTCTGGGTATATTACTGCAGAAATCAGGACCTTGGACCTCTTGGAAACTTCCAACAGATGTTCCAAGCCTTCTGGTGCTTGCTGTGTTGTATCCTCCCCTAAGGCATTGTTACTGCTGCATCCTTCATGTGTGCAGATATTCCTTAGTGGGAAGCTGATTGAAGGCAAGCAGGAAGCTGATCCCTTGGGGAGCTGTGCTCAGTGAAATGTGATGGAGTCCCACTCACTGACCTTCAGGTGCAGAGTAAGAAAAGGAGTCCAGACTGTAAGCAAAGCTCTGGAATATTCCTGAGGGCTGCAGGAGTCCTGTTGATGTTTGCTTTGTTTAGGTGCACAAGTGTTCCTGATTGTAAGAGTTGTCATTTTAAGTTGGTTTGTTCCTGTGATTATTCTCTTTTTGGCCTCAGAAACTTGTCTAAACTTGCCACTAAACAACCTACAGTGGTTCTCTTTGGTCTCTGTGGGTAAGGAGGAACATTTTGGGAGAGCAGGAGTTGGTTTGGTGAGCCCATGGGCTGTTACCTTGTTATCTACATCGTTTGTGGTGAGTGCTGAGTTCTCTCTGCATCTCATGGTAAGCAGATTTCTGTCAGTGAAAGTATTGTAGCACATTGAGAGATGGCATCAGCTGGAATTCTTCTGAATTTCAGCTCCACTAAGAGGTGGACAGATGAGCCTCAAAGCTACCCAGACTGAACATACCTTGGAAATTACATCCAGAGAATTATTGTGTTCCCTACTGGGGAATATGAGTTGAAATCTGTAGGTTCTAGAATTGGTTTTTTGTGGGTTGAGGGGGGGTCTGTTCTTTTTTTTTTTCACTTCGATGAAACTCTGCATCTCTGATCACTGTTAAAGCATCTTAGTGGAAATTTCATTTTGTGGTGAGTTTCCAGTTCAGTGGAGATCATAAGAGATACCTCAGAATGTGGATTTCTCAGCAAATGTGAGCAGGATTAATTATCAGTGACATCTAAATGTTTTCAGTCTTTGTGTATGTGTGTATGTGGAGTTAAATCTTTGCTCAGGCTCTGCTGGTTGCCTGTCTCACATACCTGTGTTATAAACCAGCCAGTGTTGACTGGAGCAGGTCATGATCTCTGTGGGAAGGATGGGTATTCTATGACAGCCCTCCCTGGCATGAGAGGAGGCTTTGTGGCAGAAGGGCTGGTGGTCCTACCCCAAGTGAGCAATACCTGTGGAAGTCTCCTTGCACTTCAACATCTCAAAGGACATGGAGGAAGATTTGAGGTTTATAAGCTAGTGAGAACTGAATGTTCTTCCCTCA